GAATGATCTGCCTAGTATGGGCCAGTAGGCCTTCTGCAGCGCTTCTCCTATTCTTTATGTCTTTATATCCTTGCCCCCTACTGGTTTAGCGCCCCCCTGACAACAACGCTCGGAAAAAAAAGCGCTGTTGTTGTATTTCTCGACAGATGGACAGTGTCATAACGTGTGATTGTATAAGTTGTATCATGTATTATTATTAGTAGTAGCAGTAGCAATAATAGTAGTAGTAATAGTAGTAATAGTAGTAGTAATAGTAGTAGTAATAGTAGTAATAGTAGTAATAGTAGTAGTAGTAATAGTAGTAATAGTAGTAATAGTAGTAGTAATAGTAGTAATAGTAGTAGTAATAGTAGTAATAGTAGTAATAGTAGTAATAGTAGTAGTAGTAATAGTAGTAGTAATAGTAGTAATAGTAATAGTAGTAGTAATAGTAGTAGTAATAGTAGTAATAGTAGTAGTAGTAATAGTAATAGTAGTACTAATAGTAGTAGTAGTAATAGTAGTAGTAATAGTAGCAATAGTAATAGTAGTAGTAATAGTAGTAATAGTAATAGTAGTAGTAGTAATAGTAGTTGTAATAGTAATAGTAATAGTAGCAATACTACTAGTAGTAATAGCAGTAGTAGTACTGGTATTATACATGTCAACATATCTTATTAATGAAAATAAAATACCAGATATACTAAGCAAATTTCCTAAATTTGCTTGTAACAGATAAGTGAATTGTTGATATAAACACAGATGCCCTCCTGTTAATCTCTTTGAGGCCTAGTTTCTAGGCCTATTGTGTATCCATATGTTCTGCTACCATCCACAGGATGGATAAAAGGTATACAATAAACTAGCAATCTGGCAGTAATACTCAGGGTACGCCTAATAAATTCTTGGAAGTAGCAGGCAATTATAGGCCCGACAGCGGCCTATCAGGACGAGAGGCCGCTCTCTCTCTCTCTCTCTCTCTCTCTCTCTCTCTCTCTCCCCCTCTCTCTCCTCCCCCTCTCCCTCTCTCTCCCTCTCTCCCTCTCTCTCTCTCTCTCTCTCTCTCAGGGGCTGGCTGACAGTGTCAGCTGTCCGTGTTATTATAATTTACGGGTGTCAGGTATCAGCAGAAAGACGCAACACACTAAATAACGGTTGAAATTGAATCGCACCAATCAGCGCTCACTTTGTGCAACCGTCACTACCGTTCAAATGGAATGCTCCAATCAGCGTTGAGCGTGGCGCTGCCCTCGAAAAACCCAAACACAACGGAGGCCGCAATTATTCGTCTGTTTTCAAATATAACGAATTAGAGAGAGAGACAGAGAGAGAGAGAGAGAGAGAGAGAGAGAGAGAGAGAGAATCAAGAGAAGGCGGACCTCTTTGCTGAACACTTTGCTACCAAAATGCAAGTTCCTGATCCAGCAAGGGACCCTCCTTGGCTAGCTGCAAGAACTGTGTCAAAACTGTCAGTGGTGACAATAAGGCAGGAGGAGGTGCATTTCCTACTTAAATCGCTTGACCAAGAAAAGGCTGTGGGCCCAGACAAGTTGAGCCCCCAAAATTGTTGAGAAGAATTTCAACCAGCTAGCAGCAAACCCCTAACTCGCATCTTTCGCACTGCCTAGTACAGTGAAATGGCCCTCTCTATGGAAAGAGGCAAATGTAGTCCCTGTTCACAAAATGAAGAGCAGAGCAGAAATAGCAACTACAGACAGTGTCACTCCTGTCAATCACTGGTAAGATCCTTGAGACAATAAGGTCTCAGACAAATGACAGAGTTTTTTTGCTACCATCACTTACTTTGTGATCGTTCTTATGGCTTCAGGAAGGGTACTCTCTGCTGATCTGTTGTTAAACCTCTCCACTAAGTTGCACCAGTCACTGGATGAATCCAAAGTCAGCTGTGTGGTAGCACTGGACATTCGCTGGCGCTTTCGACCGGGTGTGGCACCAGGACCTCTTAGCAAAACTTCAAGCACTGGCTATTGCAGGCTCTACGCTGTCTCCTCAGTAATTACCTTCATGGTAGATCTCTAAGGGTAGTTCTCCATGGAACGGAATCAGCAAGACATCCTATTGGGACCATTGTTATGGAATGTCTACTACAACGACCTTCTTCATCTCATCCGAGAATCCCATGCATATGCAGACGACTGTACACTGACATTCACTTACTGCACGTATAAGTTCTGTCAAGCACCTTAACTACTGGGAACGCTTGGAAGCACTTGAATTGTACTCGTTGGAACGCAGGAGGGAGAGATATATCATAATCTACACTTGGAAAATCTTGGAAGGAATGGTCCCAAATCTGCACACAGAAATCACTCCCTACGAAAGTAAAAGACTGGGCAGGCGATGCAAAATGCCCCCAATAAATAGTAGGGGCGCCATTGGTACTCTAAGGGAAAACACCATAAGTGTCGTGGGCCATAAACTGTTCAACAGCTCCCATAAGCATTAGGGGATGCCATAAACCCCTGGCTGCCTTCAAGAGAGAGCTGGACAGATACCTAAA